TAACACCCCAAAGGTAAAAAATACCTTAAAAGAAGTTAATATCCTTGCTTACTATAGATTTCTTTTCAAAGGGACTATGATTTACAATTTTTATAAAATTCTATGGATAACCATATAGTTAAGTGTACTTTCTAAAAAGTATGGAATATGGTGAAGGCAAATTCTTACAGTCTTTCATTATGCCTGCTTTTATAAGTTACTGGGAGGCCAGGAATACTCATGAGAAATCGTGGTCATATAAAGGCCTGTCACATTTGCCTTGCATACAACTGACCCAGGTTTATTCCCAGGTACCATATCTTGTTCCCTAAGCAGCTTTGTTTGTGAACCCAAAAAAAGGGGGGAACGGGAGAAAACCCATAAAGAGCTGGCCTTAGTTCCACCCCCAGTACTTCATTCACACCATTTACAGTCCACCTGAACACAAATAACGAGAACGGTAAAAACCCTATCAGCTGCTTGGTTTTGTTACTGGATCACACCTAGGGGTACTCAGGGACAACTACTACACAAGTGGGGGGAACGAAGGAAGGTGATATGCTCTAAAGTGGTGCTTGGGAATAAACCCAAGATTCCTGCATTCAAAGCATATGCCCCAACCCTAAATACATCTTCTCTAGATGTTTGGTACAAATTGGTTAAATACGATGAATATATTTACTTTGTTCTATTACAAGCGTATCTTAAAGATGCTATTGGTTTGGTTCTAGATTATCTGCTGATAGCGCAAGTCATACAGATTCGTTCCTCAGTGTGTAACAGCAGTTTCCCTTACATACAATGACTGTCCATTGTGACAGACACTTAACACATGCTGTTAAAATAACTGAGGCCATGAACTGAAGAGATAGTCCAGCAGGAAGAGTGATCTGCACACAGGTGATCTGGGTTTGATCCCCAGCATTATATACGGTTCCCCAAGCACCACCAGGCATTGATCCCTGAATGCAAAGTTGAGAGTAATCCCTGAACATTCCCCCTCCACTGAGTAGTCTCCCTCCACTCCCCAAAAATTAGTGGATTCAAAAATGACAAGTTTTGGGGGTGACAGGAGTCCTTGCAAAACTCTAGCCTTCATGCAAACCTTTTTTTGCTATACTCAAGGATTACTCCTGGCGGTGCTCAGGGGACTATATGGGATGCCCGTAGGGATCAAACCGCAGCTGCAGTCAAGACAAATACCTTACCCACTGTACTAGGACCTCATGAAAATCTTTTAGATGAGATTGCAAGGGCCAGATAGTACAGCAGGTAGGGTCCTTGCCTTGGGTGCACACGGGTTCAATCCTGGGTGCCCAAGTGTAGGTCCCTAGGCCTGCCAGGAATGATCCCTGAGCACAGCCAAGTGTGACCCCAAAACAAAAAGTGAGGTTGTAATTTGTTTTGAGGATGACAGTGATGTTTAGGATCATACTCCTGGTTCTGTATTCATACATCATATGCAGTAGTGCATTTTATCTTGTCAAGGATAAAACCTGGATAAGTGCATTAGTAACAATACATCTGAGTGGCCTGTGCTTAAGAAATTTATTTTTGAGCCAGAGTGAGCAGTGCTCAGAGCTTATGTTGTGCTCAGAATCAAACTTGTGTCAGCTACAGGCAAGGCAAATTCCCTCTCGTTGCTCTATGAGAATATAGGATGGCATGTGTTTGCTTGCAGTTGGCCCAAACTTGAACCAAGTGGTACTTAGCACTTTTGTGGGGGGTCCACACCCGGCGATACACCATGGTTACTTGTCTGGCTCATGCACTCAGGAATCACTCCTGGTAGTGCTTAGGGAAACTGAACCCAGGTTGGCCATGTGCAACGCAAACGCCCCACCTGCTGTGCTATTACTCCAGCCCCAGCATGTTTTTAAGATGAGGAACCAACAGTACAGTTAGTAGGACATTTGCCTTGATTCCCCCATGCCGTATGGTCCTGAAACCCACCAGAGGTATCTCTGACCACTGCTACAAGTGACATTAAAAGTGGACTGGAGTGATAGTGTAAAAGGCTATGACAGTAAACTACCCACAAATCATTTCTGAGTTATGTTAAATATTTCCCTTGGAGTATGAGTTAAAGCAGAACATACCACTTCTGTAAAAGCCAACATTTTAAAGTCTGGGGGTGTGATTCTGTGATGAGATACCTAAGGCAGGTGAGGTAGTCTGATGCCCAGTATCCCCAGCACACGGGGTAAGTACAACACAGGCAGGGTGCATACCTAATAAATACTGCTCCATGCCAGTTTTGCAGCTAAATCATGAGCCCCACTCTGGAGGCCCCTATAAGCAGGTACGGTTGAGGAAGGGGGACTGCTATATGCAGAGTTGGACATGCGCATATTTAAAGTTTACATGCCCCATGCATTTGGAACCTTGGGCTGGATCCCCAGCACTGCATGCTCCCTACTCCCCACCCAGTTATAAACATTTAGATTGGCAAATATTTTATACAAAATACTTACAGCATTAGGTAATACCACAAGAAAGGTCTGCAAGATCCTGAGCAACATTCCATACTTGTGGGGTCCAGTTAAAAGAACTTAAGCTGTCTAAAGATGCCCCGTTTTCTACTCAGGACTTCTGTCCACGTGTGAATGCCATTTTTGGTTCCCTGGTATATCCTTACATTAAAACCTACTAAACTAACTTGTTCAAAAGTTCTGCTGTGTTTAGGAGGCAATCTTGGTGTAGGGAAATAAAGGGCAAAAAAGCTAGTAAAGATACAACTTGTGCTTTATTGAGACAAACTGATTTATTTTAGCCAGGCAGTAGAAAAGTGCCATGCCACTCCCCTCTCCCGATCCACTTGTGTCCATCTTTTATGGTTCAGAAGACCATAATGGGATGCTGGAGACTGAACCTGGTTGGCTGCATGCAACCACTGTATGATAGCCATCATCTTCATCCTTAACCTTCATTTTCCCCTACTTTATCCCTTAAAATTCTTCCCAATCCTATATTGCATATTAATTAGTTCACTTACAATAGGGCTGGGGATGTGAACACAAGAACACTGAAAGGCTAGGGTTTCTCATCCAACAAAAGCCCTTTGGACCACCTCCCCAGACTGTTACAATAAAGTGTGCTTCCAAACCCCTGGAGTACAGGTAAGAGTAGCATTCATTGTCTAGACACACAATTAAGGCGCTAATGATTGTTTTAATTTTAACCGAGGAAACCAAGTTCCAATCAAAAGATTTAAAGGAACTTTAGTGGTGTAGCTCAACCTTTTCATTAAAGCTCTAGAATGTATGTTATTTGTGTAAGTGGCAGAGCTGAGACTCAACTTCAGCTCTAGATTTCAAGTTCTTTTCATCATGTTGATGTGTGGTTTAAATAAAACAAGAGTAATATAACTTCGTAATATGCAAGAAAACAGACCAAAATACACCATCCACATTCACATGAAAAATTGTTCAAGTAGTAGCAAGTTAACATGGTGCTATTATAAACAAACATGGTTATCAGAACAACCTATTCTCACTTCTCAAATTCTATAGTTGAGACTGTAATTCAATTCACCCATAAACTCTTAAAGACCTAATCACACCTAATAGATTCTGATATATGCCAAGACAAGATCAACTGACTGATTGTAACATAGTACATGATCTAGTTTGATCTCTTTATATCAGTATTTCATTGTTGAACCTAGCTTATTTTTAAATCCTAGCCCTTTAAGCTCCTAGGAATTTTAGATGTTGAAAACACCCCCTGTGCACGGGATTCATTATTATATGGTTCACTTGGATCTGTTGTGGCCGGCCTTGGACACTTTTTGCTAACTAGTAAGTATTATTTTTCTTTTGAGAAAGATTTTCTGCATGAACATTTTCTCTTTATGAATGAAAATAATTAGTGCTTATGCTTTCTTTGACAGGTAGAATTAAAAGATCATGTGATGTTGGATTAGGAGGATTTATCTTGGTTACTTTAGGATGCTGGTAAGTTTTTTAAGTATTAAAGATTTTTAAATAACTGGTAATCTAATTCCAAAGCACATGTATGGTCTTCAGAGTAAGCTTAATTTGAGATTCCCATCTTCTGTAAGTGTAGATTTCGTACAAATCGTTTTTGTTGAAATCCATATAATCTTTCCAAAATTACCACCAAAACATTGCATATCTTCAGTGCCAGGGTAGTCATCTGAAAGCACTCCCACAGCTGCACCTATGGAAATTTCTAATAGCTGTGATTTTTTCTCTTTATAAGGTTCCACTGTAGGTATTATTATGCAAAGCAAAAAATTCAGGAAAGAATTGCCAGAGAAGGAATTAAAAAGAAGATTTTATATGAGAATACCCACCTTGATCCTGAAAGAAAACCAACTGAAAAAAACAGCAGCAGCTAAGCAAAAAAACCAATATACAATTCATTCAAGTTCAGCATGAAGAGCTTGCAAGCAAGGACACAGAACTTTCGTGTATCATAATAAAGCAAATAAACTATAAACTTATTTTTCACATAATTTGGGCTTACTGCACATCTATTTACTATAGCATGAAGTATATGCATGGTCATAAAGAGTAGGAATTAATGCCATCCCAGGTACAGTAGCTTCCAATTGAAATTTTCAAATGAGTGAATACTCAGGAGATAATAAAGGAATCAAAGCACCTGGTATGCAGGAGCCTTGGCACTGAATGGTCCCTGGACAGGGGCCACGTGAAACCCTGGAGGTCCCCAGAACAGTGGGACTGAGCACTAAATCAACAGACCCACACCGCTGGGAGTGACTCCCCTGAAACAAAGCCTGGGAGACAATAAATGAATACAAGCTACCTAATAACAAAAACTGTTTTGCAATAGTTATTTTTAAAAATTCGCTCACTACTTATTTTTCCAATTTCCAAATATTTTAAGCATGTTTTCATTTAAGACATCAATGGATAGTTTTGGCCAATGGTTAATCATAACCATTATAAGTCCAGCATAACCAGCTTACTGAATCCTTTTGACTGTCAGTTAAAGCAACAGAACGAGTGAGTGAACACTATTTTGTTATGTCCTTTTTCCCCAACTGAGGCTTACCCCAGTCCAGTTCATTTCAGTAATAGCCGTTTTCCTCCTAGGCCCACCTCCTGATTGTCAAGAGGGTACACTGGCTGTGTGATGTATAAAATACTATACCTACCACTTATTTCAAGAATTTTATTGATTCTATTCATCTGCAATACCTAAAAGTGCAATTTTCATTAGGCAAGGAAGGTAATCATGTAAATGCAACTTAGGCAAGGACATCTCTCTGCCCACCCTTATGCAAGCTACATTTTCGAACCACTTAAGACCCAATAATTTTTTTTTAATCCTATGATGTGGGTCATTCCATTTACACTGTAACACTGCAAGGGTGGGGGGAGGCGCTGACCTTTTTAAAAATGTCAGACCATTTCTGCTTTCAATCTTCATTTTAGTAGGGAAGATGTCAAACTGGACATCGAGGTTAAGAGCTAATGTTCTCTCTACCTCTAGCATACTGATGAATCTTACCCTTAGTGATTAACCTCTGCTGGCTGGTAAGTATTTCCAAGTCTTCAATAAATTTTCAAGACTTCATTCTCACAGCAGACGCCATGAAACTGAAGACCTGGATTAAGAAAGTTGAAACATACATACTAGATTGAATCCAATCTAATCTATTTTCTTCTTGAATTGCCAAGCACAAAATACATTCACAAATTTCTAGACTAGAACATATTTCCAGGTCTTCCCTACACTGCTACTGGTTGCCTTTGGATTTTACCTTGCTTGAAGGTTAGGGTCTTAATACTCCCAACTTTCAGTCTCCCCACATCAAGTCTATTCTATTCTGCCATCAATAAATTTAAAGACCTAACTGTAAACTTCCGTTCAAGTGCAGTATTACCACTATGACCTAAGTGTATGCTCAACTTTCATTCCACTTAGAACACTTCCTTACTTCAACCTTTTATTAACAAAATTCTACAGAATATCCTCCATTTAGGTTCTCCTACTTTGATTAACCTGTCGTAGACACTTGGCTAATTTGTTAAGAATCCTGTCTGGGGCTGGAGTGATAGCACAGTGGGTAGGGTGTTTGCCTTGCACGCAGCCAACCCGGATTCGATTCCCAGCATCCCATATGGTCCCCCGAGCACCGCCAGGAATAATTCCTGAGTGCAAAGCCAGGAGTAACCCCTGTGCATCGCCGGGTGTGACCCAAAAAGCAAAAAACTGAGACCTACCTTTCATGCCCATTTGAAGCTTCCAGCTGGACAGCACTCTTCATTGGTCCATTAATTCCAAATTTCACACTAGGTGATATAGCAGTAGGTACCAGCTAAATAGCTGATTAAAATAGAATTGTGGTCATTAGTTTTAAAGTTTTTTGTGGCTTACCATACCTTTGTTAAATCCTTTCTAGTGCTTTAGCATTTTCCCTTCCCTTATCCCTCCCCCCCTCCATTTTCCTTTAATACTACTTTCTAGATCTTAATAAAGGACCTCAGGGAATTTAAAATTAACTTCTTTTTCTGGACTCATGATTTATATTTATCAATGTTTGGTAATGGGGAATTTTTACTATACCTAGAACCATATTTGATTTGCAAGCATCTTTTTAGTCTACGTACCTCTACTCCATCGCTGGTTTCCCTTTGCTTCGATTATATAATGCGAGGTCTATATAATATATCAGGATTCCTGTTTATGCACTTTTCAGCAAAGAGCTAGGGATCAAATAGGGTTTGAATAATCCTTCTATTCCTAGATAAAAATCTTTAGCAGATGAGGGTGGGTCATGGCACCCCCCCTTAAGGTATACTACACTTTGGGTATGCAGAGAACCTTAATGAGGAAAATAGAAAAAGTATGAAAGACTACTAAAACTGGATTTAATGGCCTCTAGAATAAATTGTGGCGCAGTGGTCATCAATTAAATCAGAACACCAATTTCCTCTACCACCCAAAATAGTGCTATTTCAGCAGCTTATTGTGTATTGAGTACCACATTTGAATGTTTATAAATTCCTTAGAAGGAAGTGGTCAAGGATAAGACTTACATTTTAAAGTCTGTAATATGCACATTACTAACGCATTAAATACTTGAGCCTTTTCAGCCACGGCCATTTTCTAAAGGATGACCTTTACCAAAGTATACTACTGTTGACTATTATAATCAAGTATACAGAGAGCCATCTTTGGTTCACTTTAAAGGTTTAGATCAAGCGAACAGGTGTTATATACCTATTATACAGTCTGCCCTTAAAATCTTCAGTTTGGTTTCTTTAAGGTTGTTTCCATGGAAGTGCTTCTTTTCCCTAGGATTGTCAAGTCATGTGAAATGAAACATGCTTTAATTCAGTATTTTATTCTTGAAACATTTTTCTCAACAGAAATGGTTGTGATTTTTACCTTTCATTCTGAAACCTTGAATTGTCTGCTATTCAGAAGCCATTAGATTCACCTTGACAGGGTAAAACTACTCCATTGGGCATACCCTGAGATATCTACATCTCAAACCATTAAGGCACCCATGCTCAACACTTTGAAGTATTTCTATTTTTATCTTTGGAAAAATTAATTTCCTTAAGTTTCTTTTAAATTACAGGGCAATGACAACTACTTGCTCTGGTCAGACAAGATCTCACTGTGCCTTCTTCACACAATTTATTTCCTAGTTAATACTTTGGTATTTGTGCATTTAGTAAGGATACAAGTTGCCCTATGGAAGCAAAGGTCAGATAGGTTTTCTGGGGTGTTGTGCATTAGAATACTAACATGGTAGCAGTTAAGCTCTTTCACAGACACGTCTTGTTAAAGTGAAGAAATGTGAATCATTAGGGAAAAAATAAACCCTAACCTCAAAAGGCTACTACTGCCTTAAACCTATATACAGGACACCTTGATATTAGTAGGTATCAGGTTTCACTGTGGGCATGCAAAGTATAACTAGAGAACTTTTCCTGCTATAGAATCCATTCACCTATTTCTCCCTTTCCCACTTCTAAAGTCCTAAGTAGGTGATTCTGGAAGCCCACTACAACAAGTGTTAGATGTACAAGCAGCAATTAATTTGGAATACCTATTGGAATCACTGGAACACATTTAGTTGGGCCCTTTTACTCTTCCACACAGCACATTCACATGGACAGACTAAGGAAAAGGAGATGAGATTTTGTCAGCACACAATTTTTTTTTTTTGCTTTATTTGCTTTAAAAGAAAAAAGTAAATTGGAACAGTTCACTCTTCTACTTTACCAAGGTTTGCCCCAAAACTTCCTTAACTATATAAATTTCGATGCTCAAGGATTTAACTTCTACCTTTAAAATCATGCTAGTTACTGTTTATAAGCGCCCCATCAATTCTAAAATAAATCCTCATCTTTTATTGCCCTAATAATTTATAGCTTTAATTCAGCTAAGTTAGTTCTATGCTGGCAGCTTTGATATTTGTGGCACTACTTGGCAAATATATTTAAACACAAAACTAATTCTACTTTAAAGAAGGTGATGGAGATGTGCATCTTAAAGGACTGGCAAGAAAAAGCATGCCATAATTCGGTGGTTATTTCCATTAGATGCTATTTAGTGCCCTAGTCAAAAACAACAACAACAAAAAAAACCAATGATGCAAAATACTGAAGCTGGACAGTTGCTATTTGGTAAAAACACTGAATATTATCTCAACAAGGACTTGAATCTTTTCATAAAGTTACATTATCAATTAGTTTTTCATACCTACAAGATCCAACTTGTTTAAAAATAAAAATGCCTGTTCCTTGTGAAGATCCAAGTGTATGTTAAATCCTGGCACAAGAAGCAGAATAAATATTCCTAAGCAATTGCAAATTTAACATGTAGTTAAGATCCTTTGACCCAATTGGAGAAACAAATTTACTTATCCTGGCATATCAATCTATATTATTTCTTCCACTAATAACAGCAGCATCAACTTACTGCAACTACAATCAACTGGCATCACCTATTATCTGTACCATAGAACTGCACCTGTTCACACGTTCCTAGCCGTATCTTATAAACTATATCCACTATCTAAAAAAAAAAAATTTCTGATCTAACAGGAAAATTGCTTAGCTATTTCTAAACTATCCTTAATAAAATGAAATTATTCTGGGAACTACACATGATCACCTGTACTTTCAATTGAATAAAAATATAAAATGCAGCCTTTCTATAAAGTACATTATCAAACCTGCATTCATGAAACTGGTCAACTGTTAGCACCCAGCAAAGTAATCTATCTATCTATCTATCTATATATATATATAGATAGCCTAATCATAGGTGGTTATTTCAGTTCAATCTCAAAAATTTCAATTTTTAAAACATTGGAAATTCATTCTGTTTAATAATTTCTCTAACTAGCACACATGGGGTAGAATTACCAGTATTGGAAACTTGACTTTCAAAACAAATTCTTAGGGAGTAACTTTAAATCTGAAGGTTAGATACAAGAGGCATTAAGACTTAGTTGCCTCAACTAGTTGCCTTTGACTATAAATGATACCCTCACAAGTCAGATCTTAAATATCCAAGGAAAAAAAGCTCTTAAAGAGTATTTTAAAGTATTTGTACTTTGTGATAATACTGTTTACATGACATTTGTTTTAGATGAGGTAATTGTTAAATTCCACACAAAGCATTGTTGAATATTGAATTATCTCCCCAAAAGATAAACTAGAATACCAAATAAGCATTGTAATCTACATTTCACATTTAACTCCTAAATTTGAAGACAAGTTCAGTCTGCCAAATCCAAGTCCTGATTACAGGGCCCAGAAATTAAAGGTTTTTTCGGAGGGCAACACCTGGCCGGCCACACTCAGGAATTATGAGGGTCTGGGCATCTAACTCTGGGTTGGTTGCATGAAAGGAAAGCTAACTGTATTACCACTCTCCAGACCCGTGATGACTAAAATTCAAATCGGGGAAAATGGCTAAGGGTAACTGGATCCTCCTTTTAAAGCCCATTTCAGTGAGTTTTGGTGCAGGTGGGTTGATGAGGCCTAATCTTTCTTAGCAACAAGTTCTATCCATCCATAGGTTTATTCTGGTTTCAGCTTTTTAAGAATATAATCCTGCAGATCTCTCATCTTTTTTCACTGTGACTGCCTTAAAAATGGCATTTTTTTTAAACCTTTTTGGGCCATACCCAGTGGTGCTCGGGGGGAGCCTTATGGGATGCCAGGAATTGAGCCCAAGTTAACCACACACAAGGCAAGTGCCCTACTCAATGTCCTATTGCTCTGGCCTTAGAATTAGACCATTTATCTTGTGTACTGAAATGAAGAAAAATGACTGTAAAAGAAAATCAGCTAACATTGTAGTTATAAAAAAAGAATATTCCCGTAACAATATCTATGAATGTCAACTTTAAAGTATTGTTCATCACCCTTTCTATCTAGTAAACTCTTTGGGCTCTTTCAAGAAAATAATAAGCAATACCACCCCCCCTCCGCAACACTCAATAAAGCTTTATTTTGTGATTTTACTCATGGAAGTTGATTTGACTGAAGATTTCATTTTGTTGTCTGGTTATTATGGCCAGTATCTGATCACTGCCTTTAGGTCAGTACCAGATCCCTCTGTCCATGTCTGAGATGTGTATCATACTTCTCCCTCAATAAAGTTAAGTCCCCTGTAACGTTTGGGTTGACGTTACATTTTCCCTCCTATTCTGATTACATGTTTATGCCATTTTCATGCTGGTTGCTAACCCAAATTAATGTTTGACCCGTGGAACTGAATACTGAAAGCACCCTTAAATCAAAAGCAATGGGTTTTCTCTAGTTTACAGCGGAGACATTTGTTCAGAAACAGCATGTTATTTGGCATTGATAGCCAGAGGGATAGGCAAAGAAGAACAGCTTTTTCAAGTTCCTCTTTCAGCTTTTCTGCCAAAAACGTGCCATTTCTCAACTTTTCCACTTTTATTTCTGAATTTCTTATGCTGCTACTTGGCCATTACTTGCTCACTATTAGAACATGATCTTTCAATTTAAATTTTCAGTAATGGATCTTTCAAAAGCACCTAACTTTGGTAAACTTAAAACTGGCTACCAATAGTCTCTGATTTTCCTCTTGGGTAAATCTACACAACCTTAATACAGACATACTGAAAAATGGTCGTGTCACTGCTAAAAAGACAAAAGCCCTCAGGATACCTTTCTACCATTATGTATTTGATTGTTCAGGATAGCTTTTATTCCAAAAACCAACTAAACCTATACCCATCATCTAAAATTCAATTCCAATCGAGTTTTTGCAGGAAATTCCTAGAAATATGAAGTAAGTTAAAAATCTGACTCACAGAGTAGCTAAAAAAAAAAAAAACCAAACCCAACCGCCCCCCCCAGCAATTAAATATACACAAACCTGAACTTACCAGATGCAACCTCAAAGTACCAACAAAACTAGACTGTTTTTAGTTCTACAGTTTGACTCCTGATTCCTCACTTCACATTAGTGAGGATCCTTTAGAAGATTAAGTGTTCTGTGCAAACCCAATAAAATTACAATTAGGGGATCTAATGTTATCACATAACTACGAATAAGTTAGCAGTGTTGTGTAGTAGTGAAATCATCAACTGGCTTGTATGATGGCTTCTAAAAGCATCTGTTCCCAGAGTTTCATGTATTGCATAATAGATGTATATAAAATAATCAGTTGTGGACAGCTATTAGCATTTGTAAAGATGATAAAGTGAGCGTTAACTTCTCCCAGCCAGTACCATTTTTCCCCCTCATTAAATAGGTTAAGTCCTCTTGGTGGGGGGAGGGGAAAGGGACAATTCAATTTTACTTCATAATTAAAATCATTCGTTTCACACATTTAAGTTTTTAAAACCTAAATGTTCTAAGTACAGAGTAAAGAATTAAGCTGTCCAGAAAGCACACAAATTTTCTCCTCTTGGGAGTTTTCTAAAGGGATTTTGAACCTTGATGGCGAGAATCCCAAAACAAGAGTAAAATGAATTCTTTTTATTGCAAACAAACGTCTAAATTAATTTCTCCACCCACTTTCTTTAGAAAGAAAAAGAAATCAGCAGGCTAAGGAGATACCCATTCAAGAACTGACATGATTAAAAATTAAGATATAAATGGGTGACTCACAATTTTCATTAGCTTACAAAGATGGTGGAGTTAACTACTACAAGCACACTAGTTATACAGTATTTTGTGGGAGAAGGGAATACAGACATAGCTAACTTCATATAGATCCCATTAGACAACTGGATTTACAACAAGTTTTTTTTAATAAGAAATGGGCAAAGCCAGCTTTCTTTTCAGAATCAAAATGCAGAACAAATGAAAAAATTATGGTATTAACCTTCACAAGTTTGAGCCTCCACAAGTAATGCAACCAAGTTTTACATTTTTAACAGCCCTTCTACATACACTCCATCTTCTCTATCTTGGTTCCAATTTTTATCTTCATTCCCAATATGCCAATTCCATTGCTAGTTTAAAAGAAAAGTCCTTCCCGGTTATCATCAAAAACTATTTAGTGTACCCCCTCCACTACTCAGCAAACTACAGAGAGGATGGAGTGTAATATGAGCAGTACAGAGTCTTAACGCGATTCATGAGGACCACTTGGTCCTGACATGAATCTGGTTGCTAACATTTCTATTATATTGTGACAATGACTCCCGACTGTTATCTCTGAGAATGGGGGAGTAAATTCTTAATAAAAGACACCAGGTACAAAGCAACATTTTACTTTTGTTGTGATAAAAAAAAAGTCACATTTTACAGATAAAATGTAGAACCCTGAAATACTGACACATTCTCTTATCGTGCACAATGCTGAGGTTCTCTTACGATTCACTTTAAAACTGCAATTAAAAATGTACAAAAAAGAAAAGAAAAAAAAATCAACCCACAAAGCTTCTAAAAAAGGAACCCGCAGGCACTTCCTCTTGTGGAATGTTTAAAAAGTTAGCCTACTAAAGAAAACAGTCGACTTCTTGTGAAGGTTTTGGAGAAATATGTATCAGTTCGTTTTATTTGGGTATTCAATAATATCCTTGGTGATAATGCTGACTCCATGGCTTCTGACCCCAGAATTGCTGTAAGAGAAAATTTTTTTTTTAAAGAAAAAACATCAATAAGCCACTCAAACTGCTTTTAGGAAATGACAATGAATCTAATTCAGCGTAACTGCTGGAAACAAATTTATACCTGTCGTACCTGACTTCTATCAAACCAGATTAATGCCCCATTATTACCATTAAGAAACACATTACAAAAAAGAAACACATCATATAACTTGGGTTAGTTTATACAATTAAAGCTAGTAGTAAAAAGAAAGCACCATATTAAGTATTACTTAAAAAATATTACATTACAGCAAACTCCAACCTATTTTGCCTTCAAAGATAAAATTAATCTACATCTTCAACACAATTCACAACTTCAGTTTCTGGACAAGAATCTTTAAGACTAACTATTATGAATTCATAGTATAATCAACATATAAACACGTTAAGAAATTACTTACACCCTGCTGCCACTGGTTGTAACCCTGAGATTGATTTTTGTAGCCACGATTGTTTCCTCGTCCTCTGAAATTCTGTAAGAAAGAATGACTCTTAAGAACTCAAGAGCACAAATTTTATTTGTACATGAGGAAAGGGAAATGGTCTGATCAATCATGGGTACCCTTCTGATGATTTATTCTCAAAATTTTCATATGCATTCTTTGATACATTAATAGGCCTGAAAACCAAAATTAGTAGGTTCATTAGTTTTCTTCTTTTCTTGCGCAGGGGGGGGGGGGGGCACGGACGGACAGGCAGTGGGACCCAATGCAGTTTTTGTCAAGAGTGCCCCAGCACCACTGGGACTATTCCCAAGTCAGTATAGCCCCAGAAACTCCTGGATCTATGGTCCAAAACCCATTCTTGCCGTTATGTAACACAGTAAGCTTACAGCCATCCAGAGTAAATTATTCAAATAAGCAGTGCCTACAAAGATCGTATTATTACCTGGTTGTAATTCCCTCTGTTGGGCATTCCACCTCTGTTGTAGTTCCCTCTGTTGGAGTAACCACCTCGGCTGGGGAAAACAGGGCCACGAGGATATGGATAGCCAATTCCACCACTTCCACCACCACCTCTCTGCGGCATATTGCCCCTCCTGTTATATCCTCCACGATTACCAGGAG